CCAAAGAAATGAATTGTTTAGACCTTCATTGGATGTGTTAAGGGAGTCAATATATAAAGACAATTCTGGTAAAAAGTATAAGATTCCCGAGTCTTGCATTTGGACAATGAAACAGTGTTGGGCTGAGACTCCCGAAGAAAGGCCCGACTTTAAGACAATCCGAAATCGCTTGAGACCAATGAGAAAAGGGCTTAAAAATAATATATTGGATAATATGCTGGATATGATGGAGAGATACACGACTAACTTAGAGGCAACCGTTGATGAAAGGACTGAACAATTGGTTCAGGAAAAGAAGAAAACCGATGCCTTACTCTATAAGATGTTACCGACTTCTGTGGCCGATTCCCTCCGCAGAGGACAGTCTGTTGAGGCGGAATCTTTCGATGCCGTCACTGTCTTCTTCAGGTGTGAACACAATTATAGATTCGTTTGTTAATTGAATATTAATGTTATAACTATAATAACTTTAGTGACATCGTTGGCTTCACTAAACTGTCGTCTCAAAGCACTCCTCTTCAGGTAATTGTCGTAATGTTATCTCAAAATTCAAAATATATTAATTATTGCTATCATTGGTGTTAAAGATCACAGAATTTCTCAATGATTTGTTCACACTTTTTGACGCGACGTTAGAATCGTATGACGTCTACAAAATTGAGACCATAGGAGACGCTTATATGTATTAATTATGCATTTTTAATAATTAAATATAAGATTATAAATTGAAATAATGGATTAATATTCTGTTTATTGTGGAAATTAGGGTTGTTTCTGGTCTTCCCATNTTCCCATTAGGAATGAAGACAGACACGCATCAGAGATCGCTTCTATGGCTCTCAACCTATTGGATGAGATCAAGAATTTTAAGATAAGACATATGCCTAACGAAAAGTTTATGATGAGAATTGGCATTCATTCCGGACCCGTCTGTGCGGGAGTTGTGGGCATAAAAATGCCCCGATATTGCCTTTTTGGTGAGATTTCACCATTAGATATGACTGCAAACTATAATTTATGATTTTAATAATAGGTGATACAGTGAACACTGCATCCAGACTTGAATCGACCAGGTATAATTGAGTACAGTATACAATAAGTGTATACTCTGCTGCATAAATTGCATTGTATTTCAAAACATATAACATTAAATCTAATCCATTAGCGAACCGCTGAAAATTCACTGCTCGGAACAATTCAAGGAAATATTGGACCGTTTGGGCGGTTATCTGCTCTTTGAAAGGGGAATCGTATCACTGAAAGGGAAGTGCGAACCCATGAGAACCTATTGGTTGGTCGGAGAGAGTGAACAGAGAAAGACGCGACGAAAATATATAACACATTCCGATCGCAACCGGAATTCATTGACAGAAATATTATTTTCGCAAAAATTAAAATCTAGTCAAACGCCAGAACTGAAGACAC